AAAGGCAAAGGCAAGAAAGGTCGTTTGTCGTGCTTCAGTAAACAGCAACAGCATCAACCGGGCGGCAAAAGCGGTCAAAAGTGGCGGCACCGGTACCGAAATGATCATCAACTCCGGTGGTCTCCACTCTCTCTCGGTCACCTGAAAAAGTGGTCCTTTCCTTCCTTCCTCCTCCTCAGTTTCGATCACATCTCCATCCATTAGCGATTTTCCAGCCTGTCTGTCTTTCAGCCTCAAAATTCCCTAGGTCCATTCATTAGAACGGAGGGAATAATCAGTTCCATTGCCGAAAGCAGCAGTAAAGGGGGACAACATAATCAAAAGCAGCTCTTCTGCCCACGCCAGTAATCAGCCAAGGTAATTAAAAAGGCAAACACACATGCTATTCATTCTCATTGGCAATTCATGGCACATTCTCAGGCAGGCTGCAGAAAAGCCGCGCGCAAATTAGCGAGAGCCGCTGCGCAGCAAGCGCAGGCACAGCGCCCAGCATTTAGTAGTCATTTAGAAGGCTTTGACATCTTCTTCCTCACCAGAGTTAGCTGACTGATTCTCTCGCCCATCCTCACTCATTAATTCTAGTCATCACTTGCGCCGTCTGTTTGTTTGAGGCAACAGTGGCAGCAGCGGCGGCAGTTGACGTAACGTGATTTGCCTCTTTGAGAGCACAGGCTTCGAGGACACACATTCATGAACAGAAGGGGAGCCAACTAAAATTAAACGAGCGACAAAGCTGACCACCACTAATCGACCATCATTAGCAGTAGCGGCTAATTGTCAGCAAGGAAAGCAGCAGCAGCAGCAGTAAACCTAATGACACTATCCAAACTAACAAGAAAAAAAGTAAAATCCACTCACCAGGATGCAAACACACACATAGGTGCGCTCGTTCAAATCCAAATCCAAAAAAAAACTTCCACATCTTCAGTTGTCGATTCCATTCACTAGGTGTCAGAGCTGGTCCAGGTTCTGGTGGTGGTCGTAGTGGTGGTGGTCAGACGAAAAACAGCAAAAAGAGAGACGGAGTCCAGTGGGGCCAGCCAGCCAGTCACTCAGTCACAGTCTGCAAAAGAAGGAAAAAGAGAGCGGAGAGTGAGGAGAAGCTCAAACAGCAGAGAAAGTTGAGAGAAGGAAAGTGAGAGACAAAAAGAGAGAGACTCTCTCAACTGAGAGTAGTCCACGTCTCGGGTCTGCAGTTGCAGAAGTTGCAGAGCAGTGTTGTTCAGCTGTCTCAGTCGGCCTGTAGTCGTTGACCGAAGCAGACGTGTGCAGCAGGTCCGTTTGTTTGTCTGTGTGCTGTATTCTCTCAGTCCCCGCACACAGCACCACAGTGCCAAGAATCCCCCACCACTACTGCTCCTCGGACGCANAGTCGTTGACCGAAGCAGACGTGTGCAGCAGGTCCGTTTGTTTGTCTGTGTGCTGTATTCTCTCAGTCCCCGCACACAGCACCACAGTGCCAAGAATCCCCCACCACTACTGCTCCTCGGACGCAGTGTCTGTGACTGTGAGTGCTTTAAAATTTTAAAATATTGTGCTGTGGTAGTAGTGGAGGTGGTGGTGGTAGCAGTGCTGCACAATTCTCCCAATTCTGGTGTGCGCAGCAGTTGTTGGCAGTGGTGGCAGCGGTGGTAGTGCCTGTGCCGCTACTTCACAGAGATTTTAAAGTACGGCGCGCCAAGACACACTTCCATCGAGTATAAATAATAGCGCAGCCATCCTCGACTTGGTCCACTCGTCGGACAGTCGTCTTCACTGTCGACTGGGACTAGGAGTTGGTGGTGGTGGTCACAGTTTGACACTTGTCTTCGACTTAGACTTCAACCAACTTCGACGACAAATACTTTCATCACCTTCCACTTCAACTTCTTCTTCCTCAACTTGACGACCACGCAGTTGTCCAACAACAAAGTTCCTCAGCATGACCAACTGATCATCATTATCATCTCCATCATCAACCAACCAACCAACCATTCCACTTCAACACCTCACACATTCCCACAACCACTCCGAAGTGCAATAGCAAAAGCAAAAGCAAAAAGCAAAGAATGGACGTCAACACCGCAAACCTACTCCCACTGATTTGGGCCTCAAAGTTCAACCTCGCCGGCATACCGAACCTCGGCGATGCTGCAGCAGCAGCAGCAGCTGCAGCGGCGGCCGCAGCCGCCGGAATGCCCCAAGTGAGCACCGGAACTTCCGCCACGACAACTCCCAACTCCTCCATTGGAGCCCTCAGTCGCTCGAATCTAGGAGCAGCAGAGGGCAGCAATTCCCCGCCACCTTCAAATGGAGGGGGAGGCCTGTGGCCGGCAGCAGCCGCCGCCGCCGCCCTCTCCGGCGACTTTACCAGCAGCTTCAAGCAGCTGCTGGCAAATGCCGCAGCCGCTGCTGCCAACGGCGGCGGCTTTCCTCAGACTGCCGAGGAAATGAACTTCAACGGAGACGGACACACCTCCTTAAACGGAGTCAGCAATGGCAATGGGCCCTCCATTTCGCCCAACTCCGCTCAGCAGCAGCAGCACTGTCCCCAACTGAATGGCCATCAGCAGCAGCAGCAGGCGTTCAGTCTGCAACAAGCAATCATGGCTCGACTGGGCCAGGCGGCGGCGGCCGCATCAATGCTCGACAAGCAAAGTCAGCAGCAGCAGCAGCAGCAATTCCACGGAATTGGCGGACCTCCACTTCAGCTCTCCAGCTCAAAGCAACAGCAGCAACATCAGTCATTGATGCAGCAGCTAATGCCCAGCGGCGGCGGCGGTGGCAGCTACGGCAGCGGACCCTCTTCGCCAGGTAAGTGCTCAAAACTTTGGAGAATTCTTGAAATAAAGCTCGCAAGAGTTTTATCGATCGATGGAGAGAGAGAGAGTTTTGCGTATCGATTGCAATTTGAATGGAGGATGTCAAGTGCTGTGTTGGAGTGTTACCACCAGTGGCCAGTCTTTTTTGGCGAGAAGAAGGAGGCTCACTCAGCTTTACACAGAGAGTTCTGTGGTCTGCTTCCATCACAGCGATTGAGCATCATTAGCATACCGACGATTAATCTTAGTGACAATCGTTCAGTGCCTTTTGGCTGCCTTTGGGTAGTACACTGCTTTCAATATGCTAACGAGAGGCTGCTGCTGCGTGTTTCCAAGAGAGAGTGTGTGTGTGATTTATGGCACTAAAGTGAATGAAAAAGATTTGGCAAAATTGAAAGATCTTAATACGAAAATACTTGGACGACTTTGCTGAGTTCGTTCAGGGCAGCAGCAGCAATTGCAATGGCAGTCGTACGCTGAGGCGCCAATCGCGCCAGCTCAAGAAAAAAAGTAGAGGTCTGAGGCAATTGAAAACAATTACCAGTGATTAATTGACATGCACATGCACACACAGAGAGAAAAAAGTCTAAAGTGAAAAGCAATTTAGCACTTTCAATTCAGCTGCAAGTTGGCAATCAATCAGCTGCTAGTCGGACGCAGTCGCTGAGCCAGTGCTCTAGAAAGAGAAGAAAAGCGAAGGAAAGCTAATTTAGATAATCATTTAAATATATAAAATGCAAGTCAATATGTCGGTGTGCGATATCGATTGATTCAGGGCGAGGGAGCGAGTGTGTGAACAAAAAGTGTCAGTGTGCCAAGTAGGCCACCACCACCGGCGAGATCAGCCGCCCTCTGATTGGATACATTATCTCCCAATCACATATGCAACTTGTTCTTGGCTAATAATTCACCACAATTCAGCATTGTGTGAGTGTGTGTGACATGGCCAGCACAAAAACAATACACCACAGTTAATAAGAAAACACGTGCTTAGGCAAAGAAAACAAGGGAAAAAAGCAGCGACGATGACAACAGCAAAATGAGAGACATTGCAATGGTTACCTTTTACTTATACCTGGCGCCTGGCTATATCATCAGTGCCGGCATTTAGTTTTCATACAACAGTAGACTCGGCAGTAGTGAAAGGAGTGAAAAGTGAAAAAAGATTGCCACCACTACGACCACCACTCGGCGACAGTCACTGCCGGGCGCCAAAAGTCAAGTTTAAAAGTTGAGAGAGAGAGAGAGAGGAAACAGTTGAAGAAGTAGAAGTAATCATTTTCCACTTGGCCTGGCGCGCGCACTGCTCTCTCAGCAGTGTACGACTGCTGCTGCTGCTGCTGAGCTGAATTTGCCAGGCAAATAGCAAATAGGAATACTGCACACACACACACGAATTAATAACAGCAGCATCGCTGAATCCTGGTGGCCGCCACTTTGTGTGCGTTGTTGGCTGGATCAGCAGATTTCAAGCTCGCTGACAACAATGATGCCAGTCAAACACACACACACACAGCGCAATGAAATGGGCGCAGTCAAAAGACAAACACGCGCTTTCCCAGAAGAAAGCAAAAGAGGAGAGGAACCAAATGGAAAAATGTCGCCGATTGTCGCTGCTGAGTGGAATCGAGAGAGAGAGAGGAGAGAGGAGGGAAAAGAACTCAGACAATTGAAGTGCAATAATCGAGGCAATAACAACAGAGAGACAGACAGACAGGCATCGCTCAATGTGCGGATATTATGCCGCCGCAGTGAGCAGCGGTAGCCAGAAAAAAGATGCAACATAGACAAACAGAGAAGCAGAACACTCTCTTTAACTTTACCTTTCGATTCGGGCTGCCAATTTTAAAATATTAGCAATGCGCGCAATTCAGTATTCAATATTCGAAAAGTAGAACTGAATAGACAAATAGCCAGTCACTCTGCCTCTGGAGTTTCTCCGTCTATGTGAATGTGTGTCTTTTCTTCCGCAAACGCGAGCAAAGAAAGTTGGCGAGAGCAAACACAGAGAAAAGGCAAAAAGAAAGCCAAAGCGACACACCAAATTCAAAGTATTGCAATCCACCAGCAGCAGCAGCCATCTTCGAGGCTGAATTAAAAACTATTACCAGGCATTTACATTTATATTAACTTTGCAAGGAAACAAAGAAAGTAGTTGGCCAATTTGACAGTGCGCGCTCATCTCTCGAGATCGAGAAAGAAAGAAAGTAAGTAAACGAGCAGCAGCGAGTAATTGGCCGTAGCAGATAGTGTGCAGCAGAGGATTGGCAACGTCGTTCCACCGCCCACTTCATTGGGCCCGAGAGCCACCGAAATTAGCATCAGCCAGCTAGTCAGTCTATCAATCCATCCACTCAGCCATCCATCCATCCATCCATCCATCCATCGGAATGTGGACACTGTTCTAGCTATTTGAATGTTGAATTTATCCTGAGGTAATGTTCAAGAAGAAGAAGAAGACGAAACTGTTTCTTCTTCTTCTTCTCTGCTCGCCCGAGCGCGCAGAAAGAGAAACCCAGTTAGAGTATGAGTTTTCTGTACGAGAGCGAGCAAGTCGCGGCGATTATAGAATTGAATTGTAAATATAATAATGCCAACGAGGAATAGCAGCAACAGCAGCAGAGTTGGAGCAAACGAGCAAACGAAGAAAGGGAACGAAGAAGAGGCCCACAGACACTGGCTGTGGTGATCATTTAAATTTCAAATGCACAAGCAAATAGATTCAAAAATTATATTCAAAATTTATTTCAATTCAAATTCAAAATCCCTAAAAGGATTCCAGCAGCCAGCAGCAATAGAGAATATTCCTCTCCTTTGTCTGCTGCTGCTGCTCTGCTGGTAGCAACACTGCTGCGCGTTTGCCCTCTCGCCATGTCTACAGCACAGCACTACACTACACTACAACTGCCGCACAAACTAACAAAGTGCCTGGCAATTTTACATTTGCCCAAATATAAATAAATTGTACATTTCAACAGCGGCGGTAGTGTAGTGTAGTGTTCGTCTTCGTCGGCGTTGCACAGAGCAACCGAATGCTATGCGCTATTTCAATGGAAAAAACATGCTGGTAATGGTAGGCAGCAACGGCAACAGCGAGGGTTAGCAAAAGAGAAAACAGAATTTCAGCAGCAGTAAAATGGCCCGCAAGTCTAGAGCGCGCTCATACGAATTTTTCCACGTACCAAAAAAGCTTTGGCGGTTTTGAATAAAGTCAAAAAAGAGTAGCGTCTTCCTTTTTGTTAAGGTCAAGCACTGCTGACAGGCAAAGTTTGGGCGTCCTATCGGGCCGGCCACCACCACCACCATTTATCAGTGTGCCTCTCTGTGCATGTCATCTGCCTCTGCCTGTGCTGTGCATGGGTTACCGGGCGGCCATTAGCATAGCGCCCGACAGTGGTGCACACTCCACCCCGCATTTGCATAGAACAGTGGCAGCAGCAGAACACACATGACGCCTGCATGCAAATGCGGCCTGCCTGAAAGGGAAAGAGAGGAAAGAGGATTCACTCACTCCTTCAGCCACTGGCAGGAGAGGGTTTGGCACTGATGGCGATTATGCACAGAAAGAGAGACAGACAGAGAGTGAGCGGAAGGAAGGCGGCAGCTTTGGAAGGGCTGATGCTAACGGGGATGCTACCGCAGCAGCAGCAGCAGCAGCAGCCTCATAAAACAGAAGCACTAACTGCTACTTCTGACACCTCCGCCGCCGCCGCCACTAAGTGGGACGATCAGACTGTGTGAGTGTCAGGCAGACAGGCAGGCAGGCAGTGTGCATAGATAATGACAGGAGAGAAGGGAAGGAAAGAGCAGACGATGAATCTGCGTGGTCAGGTGAACACCGATCGATGATGATGACGGGGCAAAGGTGGCAAGGTGAGTGACAGGAGGACAAGGCCGACTCGGCCGCCGCCACGCTTGACCTCCGAATAGAATAGTGAAGAGACGTCGCTGCTGCTAATCAAAAGAGGAGGCAGTGGTCAGAAGAAAGCACCGCTAAGGTCAGCTGGGCAGTAGCTGCTGCTGCAACGGTGACATGACATGCAGAGAAAGAGAGGAAAGAAAGAGAACTAGTCCAGGGACCCTAATTACACCGGAGAGGTGGATTGACACATCCAACACCTCTCTCCAGCTCTCTCCTTCTCGATCGATGATGATGAATGAGTGCGCGCACACTGACCGAGTGTCTCTGTGCTTGCCCCAATTGACCATCCACTTCTTCTCCTGGACAGAATCAAACGACGAGACCGGTGGTTCAAGATGCCCACAGCACCACCATCGTCAGCAGCAGCACAGCTTCAATCACCACCACCACCACCACCATCACAGCAGTCGAGCCTCCTCGGCCTCTCATTCAGACGACGAAAACGGTGGCGGTGGCAGTGGCAATCACTTTCTGCCGGCGGAAATTGCGGCGACCACTGCAAACTCTGCAGATCACGAAATGGCCGACAACAACGACGACGATGAGGAGGAAGGGGACTACGGAGAAGGCTCAGAAAAGACGACGGCGCTGAGGCCGGGGCACGAGACCGCAGCCAGTGCGGCCAGTCTACTGCTTCAGCAGGTCGACAAATTGGTATGTTGTGTGTCTTGCTCTTCATACTTCAAATTAGCTTTTAGCCAAAAGAAAGGTAGTGTTCAATTATGTTCAATTGTTGCCATTGTCTCCACCACCACCACCACCGTTACAGGTCAACAACAGCGATGATGAGGAG